CTGAAAAGAAACCTGATGAATATTAAGATAACCCAGCTTTACAGAGTCCTATAATGTAGAGCAACAGGCACTTTGAAGCTCTTTAAAGGCTTAATGAAGCCCTTCAAGATTAGTAAGATGCTATTTCCTCACAAACGCATGAATCATGTGTTTTAAGGTGTGTTTATACCAGGCAGCCAAGCACAGCAGCCACAGTATCCAGGGTCAAACCGATTGAAAAGATGACACTTGTCAACCCAATCACAACAAAGTGTGTAACTTGATGGGATGTTACACTTTGCCTCTCCGTTGGGTGAAATGGACACACATTGATATATTTTTATATTATATATATTTAAAGTTAAGAACTCGTTAGTGACACAAGGAAGGTATGAAGTCTCTAATTCAGGCTCCTTCAACCCCAGTGTTAGTAATGACTCTAAACATCTTTAAACATGATGATTTTCACGTTTGCTTGAAATAAAATATCTCCCTCTGCTGGTACAGCAACTGCTTGCAACTCCAGCATGTGTGTCCATTTATTGTCAACCTCTGAGGGAGTAGAGTCGAGGTAGTTGTGCTGTACTGTACAAGCTCATGGTGTTGAAGATGGAGAAATATATCCTTAAACTTGGAGCACTTTTAGAAAGACATCTACTGTAATGAAATGTATCGAATGTATGAAATGTAAGCATACAAAAGTTTGAGTTTTAGGATAGACACAAATAAAAAAACTAAACAGAATAAAACAGACAAAAACCCCAGAACAGTATAAAATGTTTTATTTGTTGAAATGCAGAAGCAAAGTAGAAGCTTGCTGTTTTTGTACTTACACAGTAATAAAAATAAATTAAATATATTATAAATCTTTCCCATAATTTTTGAGACCTACTGCAGACACGGAAAGAGTGATGGGACGCTGCGATTAAAACTCTGTTTAAACTAAAACTAATAAAAAAATATCAAAATGATCCACGAGTCAGTTTTTTGCCTTTGAAGATGAATTTTCTGGTGAGGCTGTAATGAAGCGCTCGTGTTACCTCTCAGCTGAGTGGCTCGTTCTTCCATGTAATTGTCTTGATTACTTCGAATGGCATCCAGTGTCATTAGCGCTGAGCACAGCTAATAATTCGCCCTCTTTAACATTTAATCACTCAAATCACAGAACATTTCTACAGTCAGTTTGAAGTTTATCCAGAGAGGCGCTCTAATGCAGCAGAAATGTGCATGTGTGTGTGTGTGTGTGTGTGTGTGTGTGCATTAGCTTATGTTTTTGTCTCTTTAGGGATCTTCTTGCATGCATTTCCACCCCTGCATTCGTCCACATGCTTGAGAGTGATAAGACTGTCACCATAGTGAGTCAAATACGTTGTGCTTGTAAAGCCACGATGACGAGCCCAGTCCGCGTTGTTGCGTTTCAGAGGGAGATGTCTGAGGATACCTGCAGCTGTTGCCCTGGTTTCCACTTGGCGCTGCGTCGGCCGGCGTCCCCCCGTCTGTACGGCTGATTTCTCAGATCTGACCAAAGAGAACAAACACGAATAATCCACGTGAGACAAGAGGCTTCAGAACAGCCCGCTGACATATGTCAAACTAAAGGCCTGTTGGGCTTTATTTACTGAGCCATAAAATACATATTTCTACTCATCAAATTGGCCATAAAAAAACAACAACACAAAAACAAA